GTACCTTAATTCTATATCGCGCATTTATTCAATAAACGGGTTCTTGCTTCACCCTCCCTTTTTGGGAAAAAAAAAAAGAAAAGTTTCAGAGCTACGTAGTTAAAATAAAACTTGAAATTATCAGACTAAATAAATCAATTTTTCGGAATTCGATTTTTTAAGGGGAATATTACATAAATTTTGCTACACGAGATTATACAGGGTCCATACCAAACTAATATAATAATTTAGAGCATATGTATTTTATTTTAAACTAGAATTATACATTCGGATATTTTGTCTATTATATAAGTTATTAAATAACAATAAATTTAATTGACTATGTATACAGGGTTGAGAAATTTATATAATAAATTATGTACTAATTTATTTTATAATCCTGTATATACAGCGCTGGATGTATCTGTAGTTTATCCTAATCTGCATCAGTAGATAATCTAGTCTCTCTGACCTTGTAATCGTTTATACAATTTGTAGCAATTTTTAGAAGTTCGGTCAAATTAGCCGATCGTTTGTGTTCTTTGTCCTCAAAGTACTCATCGGAAGCGAGATCTTTCTTTGCGATGGCAACTCTTTCTAAATACTCATGACGTTTTATCGCCACTTTTAGAGAATTTGGCACATCTGGTATAAAATATGCAACTAGAAATTTGACGAACAGAACAAAATTCTAAAGAAAAGGATAATGTTAATCAAAATATTACAAGCACTTTGTGAAATATATTTTGATAATTCATTTTTACCTCAAATGCTAAAATGAATACTAAACGAGCACTAAGCAAAGACCCATCTTCTCCGACAATTTCTTCAAATTTCTTTTTCATATAACTTGAATGAAAAGCTAAAATTGCAGCATTAGTGAGCACAGCTAAAATTGAAATCACATAAATGATATTATCCCACATTCCAATAGTTTGTGTAAATGAGCTGATTGGTCGTCTTTTTTGCTTAATGTACTATAGATTGGTAAACGTAGTAGTAAATAGGTTGTATTAAAATCATATCTTAACACTCGATCTACATATTACTTACCTTATAACCATCTGTTCGAATCTCTAAGTAATTATTAAACCAAGCACACAACGGTGCTAAAGGAAAAGCAGTAGCAAAAAGAGCGATAAAGCCAAATTGAACAGCTACAATAAGCAAAAAAATATTTGTTAATATAATGGTAACAAAGTTTTTTCGAAAAACATACATACTCATTTCCTCATATTCTTCTCTGAGATCGTCATTTTCGGTTGGCAATAAATCATCATCTATAATCCATGGATACAAAGTTGATTCCTTCAAGACTTTGATAGAAGCTAACTCCTTATCGACTTCGATTTCTTCATCCGGTTCTTTTTTAGAAGTTTTGTTCTTACAGAGTATAAATGCGATAAATTTATTCTTAAACGCATCCAATTTTTTCTTAAGTAACCTAAAAAGGTTATTGCCGGTAATATAAGTTTAAATAGCTAAATAATTTTATCATATATATATGGAATACATACGGTAATCCAAGTTCTTGCAACTGTCCTATAGCTTGTTTACCAATAAGAATAATAGCGAGTTGTATGGTAAGTTCTGTCATGCAATTACCACCTTCACATCCTTCAAAACCACGTTCGCCAGGAAATATTTTGGGACCCTATATACCAAATATACAATTAATAATTATTTATTTCCAGTGATATAATAATAAAATCTTTTACCAGATCCTTGAGCATTAAAATGTAAAAAAGTGCAGCATAAAAGTTGATGAAATCGAAAAGATAAACTTTTAAAATGTGAGAATCTGGTAAAATATAGAAAATCTTAATATTAATATATTCTAAAGTAAACAGGCAGGCTAAGTACAAATCGGTGGTACCTTCAAAGCTTGTCTCAGTTTTAAGATTCTCAAGTTCAGTAAGTTTTCTAGCTAGCGTTTTGTAGAACTAAATTGAAACTAATAAGTCAGTATGTGTTTAAATTTTTCAATAACATAGAAAATAATTACCAGACTTAGGGTATGGACTACTCCCAAATTGATAGTGCTTGATATAACGCTACTCCAAATGGGACCATAGTAAAACCACTTTTTTGAAAATAACAAGAGAGAACCGATTGTCGCAATTACTATAAGCATCTGTAATTGAATTTCCGCATTAATTTTCAGCTTGAATAAAAAATTCATTTATAGTTGACACATACCGATGTAATAGTAAGTGTTATCGAAAGGAAGTAACGTTGCAATCTTTTATTTAGTGGAAAAATTATTTCTTGCTTGTTTGTTACTTGCGATTGTCGAGTTTCTTTCATAGAATAAAACTATTAAAATTATAGTTAAAATATATTGATGAGTTTTTTCAAAAAATTTTACCAGTTCCATGAAAACCTGGACGAGATTGTTCCTAATTAAAAAGAAAATTTAGTTGAAAATAATATTAAATAAATAATTTCAATTTAAAAGTTACAGTTTCTTTAAAATGGCTAACACCCCAGTCATGAGCAAGTGCAGCATTATAACGTTTCCATGATTCCAAAAAACAAGTTGCTATAGGAAAGATAGAATTGTAAGTAAAAAAATTTAAACTTCAATATATTATAACTAAATACTAACCCCAAATGGACATAAAGAGAGCAAATACAATAGTAAATGCATTATCCCAAATTCTTACAATTGTGACATTGTTATCGTTATCACTATCGTTATTATTTGAAAAAATATTAGCCTTAAAATTAGGTATGAAGATAATATCCTTCTGGATTCTTACATTGTTGCGTAGTCGATAATACCATAAATAATGGTGATAATTCCAAAAATAGATGCAACAAACAACCATGAGGCATATAGACCTAAAAAAAAAGATGATTAGATTATGACAATATTGACTTTCTATCTTGATAAGTTATTGATATAGTTACCAAGCCATGCGAAATATATTGCTAATTTTTCACCCAAATATTCTCTGATTTCACTTAGAGGTTGTCTTTTTCTACTTTTAATCCAGCTTTCATAAAGTATTGATCTTAGATTTTCTAGTTTCTTATTATATGATTTTTCTGGATTTCTGAATTCCCGATCATCTATTTCCCCATCATGTAGAGGATAAAAAGCAGTATATACTCTTTTTTCTATTAACTGCTTAAATCCTAAGGATCTCAGACGTACTGTTTGTTCTACTATTTGATTGTCTAATTTAGGTTTAAGTTGATTTGCATCGATTATGCGATGGTATGTCTGAAAGAACAATTATTAGTTTAATCTACATAATACATGTAATGCAAATCATGATAAAAATTTTTTAATTTACCAATAAACTGCGGTTTGAGCTGCTCCAAAAATGTAAAGCAATATCGCTATACCGTTTATATCCATATGCACCTTTGTATTTTTTCAATTGATCCATTTGGAAGAAAGATAATTTTTTTTCAAGGTTTACTTTATAAACAAAATATGGTGATATCTTCCGATACAAAAACTGATAAATTTTATTAAAGAATCGTGGTTTTTTGTTAGTTCCATTGCTGTTTTCTTGACTTTCCGTGATTTCACTGTGATCTATTCTTAACTAAAAATAAAATTTATCATTAAAACAAGTTTAAGCTTAGTGCAACAAAATGCATTAGTTAAATAAATTATACTTACATCCAATTCCTTTTTTATACGTACTTCTTCTGCAGCTTCACATAGTGCCATAAAAGGTGTCCAGATTTTAACATATGTAACATTTTTAGTGGAGTCAATCTCATGTTCGACAAATAAGTCTGATAACAAGAGCAGCAACTCAAATTTTCGACGAGAACTTTTTGTATCTACATGATCCGTATCGATATCATCTGTAGACTCATGTTCCGAATCAAATTTGAAGATGAAATCTGGAAATTTCTGATCATATATAATTCGAGCAAGAGCATCACAAACGTTTCGTCTATCATTTTTCTCACCTAAAGGAAAATATCAAAGTTAATTTTAATACACTATGATAGTATATTTTTAATTTGTTATTTTCTTACCAAACTTATCGATTGCATCTGCCATTGATTCCGAATCACCAAATTCATCGATTGCATCTTCCATTGATTTTGAATCATTATCTTTTCTCCATTTAATCATTTTTTTAAGTAAATTAAGATTATCTTCGTAAACCAAGTATAAAATACGAGTTCTATTATTGTCTGATTGTAATCTAACTTTATAAATTATCGGATTTTCGTTGAGATCAACATGTTCAGTCGTAGCTGTTTTATTCCCTTCCGTAGAGTTGAGTTTTACAACTGCTGAGTAAGGCTAGATAATTAAATAACAATATTAAAATAAGTATAGAAATAAAAACGATTGATGACAGATAAAGTACTTACCGTAGATTCCGAGTGAGCTGGCTAGATAATTAAATAACAATATTAAAATAAATATAAAATAAAAACATTGATGACAGATAAAGGAATTTACCGCAGATTTGAGTTTTACAACTGCCGAGTGAGCTACCTTAGGTTCTATTATCTGGATAATTTAATATCAATAAATATAAACGATTGATGACAGATAAAGCAACAATGTTAAAATAATATAGAAATAAAACACTGATGACAGATAAAGTAATTTACCGCAGATTCGAGTTTTACAACTTTCAGGATCTTTACCGTAGATTCCGAATAATAATGTTAAAATAAATATAGAAATAAAAAATTGATGACAGATAACTAGTACAACCTCTTCTTGAATTGGCTAGATAATTAAAATAGCAATATTAAATAATGAATATAGAAATAAAACAAACATTGATGAATATAAAGTAATTTACCCTAGATTTGAGTTCTACAACTGCCGAGTAAGGCTAGATAATTAAATAAATAAATAACAATATTAAAATAAGTATAGAAATAAAAACTATTGATGACAGTAGTGCTCCAACCGGGTCGGGTCCAATCCGTGACCCGACCCGGAATGCACGTTTCGGGTCGGATTGGCGCAAACCCGACCCGAATATTTCGGATCAGCCTAAAAAACGTCATTTCTCGTTCAATATTAATTGGAATTAAACAAAAATTTTTGGGTATATACAAAATTACATTCCGAACAACTCTACTTAGACACAAAATACAAGTGTCTTAGTAAAATAAAAGTTATTAACGAAAAACTA